ATACAGGAATACCATATGAAAATCCTTCAAGATTGCTGTAAAAATGTTAAAAATACCAAAAAAACAGTGAATAGCCCTAAGGCAGCCTTCTGGAATGCAGGAAATGTTCTGTCTTGATTTGGGTGGTGATTACATAAGAGCATGAGGAAAATTCATCAAGCTGTACACTTGGGGATTTTGTACACCTTGCTGACTGCATTTATAATTCAATAAAGAGTATTTTTAACAAACAGCAATCAGAATAGGACTTTAGAGTGAGTATAATGAATATTCTCAAAAAGATAACGGAGTATGCTGCAACCATAAAACATGAATAAGCAGTCATGAAAAATAGCAAACCACAGATTGAGGGCAAAAACTCAAATTTAAAAACTCAGTGGGCTAAAGAGCTGAGTAGACCTTGAGGAATAAATTCGTGACTTAAAAGACTGAGTTTAAAAATGCTTCCAGAAGACGGCACAGAGAGGGGAAATAAAAGAAAAGTGAAGCGACTCGGAGAACAGATCAAGATGTGTCTCAATCTATCTTTTAGAGGGAGCTGAAGAGAAGAAATGAGAAAATTTAAGGAAACGGCATTTAAATAAATAATAGCTAAATGTTTACTAGAACGAAAACAGAAAACTGCTTCAAAAACATTTTTGCTTTTTCCTTTTAAAGAACCTGGGTCTCACTCTGTCCCCAGGTTAGAGAACAGTAGTATAATCATGGCTCACTGCAAACTCAAAATCCTGGCCTCAAGCAATCCTCCTGCCTCAGTCTCCTAAGTGGCTGGGATTAAAGGCCTGTGCCTCATGCCCAGATATTTATTCATTTATTTTTTATAGAGAATGGGGGTCTTGCTATGTTTCCCAAGCTGGTCTGAAACTCCTGGCCTCAAGTGATTCTCCCATCTTGTCCTCCCAAAAGTGTTGGGATTTACAGGTATGAGCCACTGCGCCCAGCGAAAAAAAAAAAAAAAAAAATTCAAATTAGTTATTTAAAGCAATCTGCATGGATGGAAGGAAACACACCACCATTTTAGGAGACATTATCTCCTGAATGTGCAATTTGAATGACTGTACAATTTAAGTGATCCTTGTTGTTTTCTATATTTTTCAAGATTTCTACAATGAATATAACTTTTACAATCAGGAAAAGTAAACGTTTATTTTTGTAAGATGAACCCAGAACCAGAAGACAAGGAAGGTTTTTTCAAAAACCCCTAACTTCTCTTTCCTCTGACTTATGAATATGATTTTTAAAATCAGAAAAAGTAAAATTTCATTTTTATAAGATGAACCTAGAACCATAAGACAAGAAAGGTTTTTCGAAAACTCCTTAACTTCTCTTTCCTCTGATTTATTACAATGAACCTGTTTCTGTTAAGTGGTCACCACAAACTTGAACAAGTCATTCAGTCTCTGAATTTCTGCTTCTGTAGGCCTGAAGCAGGGAAAATAAAATCCCTCCTTTCTACCTCCCCATGGTCTGGGGAACATCAAATGAGATGGTGTACAAAAATAGCTTTCGGTAAACCATAAAGCACTGTACAAATTGTGGCGTGTTATCACCGTCCTTCTAAGCTGGTAAACCCCAACCTCTGAGTCACCCTCCACTCTCCACCCCTTCACGCACTAAATCCACTCTGTCACTAGTCTGTCAGTTTTTCCCTCCCTTATTCCCTCCTTTCCAATACCACAGCACTAAGTTAGTCATACCTTGTGCCCAAACCACTGCAATAGGTCCTGGATAATGCCCCATCTCTAGCTTTCCCTTGCCCCTCCTAATGCAATTGTTGCCTGAAACCTAATCTTCATGAAGTATGTTTATCCTTTGACTACCCTGCTGAAAATGAAATGTCTTTGGGAGTTCTCTCAGGTTTACAGGATGGACTTCAAACTCCTCAACATGGCTTTTAGACCTTCCCTCCTAACCGTGGTCAGGGGCCTCGTAATTGGAACATGCACCAAACTCCCACACCCTTCCCTTATCCAGAGATGTATTTTCCACTTATCCACATCCTCCCAGTCTTTTAAGCCCAGGTCAAACCTCTCCCTCCTTTCCTCTTGCTGTACCTAATAACCAATCCAGACCAAGCTCCTGCCTCCATGATCCATCCCTCAAGGTGCCATCATCACTTCCAGGTCAGACACCTACCCTACCTTTCCAGAAAGGACATATTGTTCCCTGAGAGCAGGGCCTACTATCCTTCTAAAGCGTCTATATTAGGCACTCAAAGTAACCTGTTAAACATTTAAGTCCTTAAGATAAACGTTATTTGCCTAAACTGATTTTATGTTGTGTTAACATCTATGTATACATAACTATATATTGTTTAGCTATTAATCTCTTTTTTTGTTGTTAGAGATGGGGTCTTGCTATGTTGTCCAGGCTCATCTCAAAATCCTGGCCTGGACAACATAGCAAGTAATCCTCCTGCCTCAGCCTCCCAAAGTGCTGGGATTACAGGTGTGAGCCACCACTCTCATACTATTAATGTTTAACTAAAAAGAATCATAGCTTATAAATGTTTTTGATGGCTTCTTCTTTCTCTCCACATTGTTTCTGAGATTTGTCGAAGTTAATACCGAGAGCTGTAATCCATTCATTTTTTTCACAGCTGTAAAGTATTCCTTTCTTTGAACATATCACAACTTGTTTATCCGTTATGTTGTTAATGGACATTTGGGTTTTACAGAAAAGTTTGGAATTAAAAGTAATCTGCTCTGAAAATCTTCAAACATACATGTATCCAGTAAAGAGTTTCTAGGAGAGAAGCTGCTATGTCACAGGCTCACATGTTCAACTCTACCTGTAATGACAATGGGTTTCCCTAGTGGTTGAACTAATTTATGCTTCTACCTAATGTTGAGCAGTTCCTAAAACTACTGTCAGTCTTTTAAATGTCTGCCAATTTGATGGGTATGTTATTTCACTGTGGGTTTAATTTGCATTTCCCCAATGAGGTTGAACATCTTTTCATATACTTATTAGCTATTTGATTTCCTCTAAGTGCCATGTCTGTCCCAACCTTTTCCAATTTTTCAGCTGGGCTCTAGTTTTCTTAGTGACTTTTGTAAGTTCTTTGAGTACTAATCCTTTATTGGTATTATGCATTGCAAATACCTTCTTCCAGTCTGTGACTTTCCTTTTCACTCTCTTCTGAAGAGAAGTTCTTTATTTTAACATAGTTGAATTTATTAACCATTTCCTTTCTGTAAATGCCTTGTGTCACTTGCTTAATCAGTCCTTCCCTACCCACAGGTCATCACAATGTTTATACTTCCTTTTAATTAAAAAGTATTAAAATAAAAACTTTAAAAAGTAATACAGGAAATGAACAATAAGCACACGGAAAAAGTACTAAAAATCATTAGCCATCAAGGAAATACAAATCAAAACCACAATGAGATACCACTGCACACCCACCAGAATAACTAAAATTAAAATGTTGATTAACAACAAATGACGAGAAGGATGTAGAGTAAATGAACTTTTATTACATGTTGCTGGCATGAGTGTAATATTGGATCACTATTTTGGGAAAAGGTCAAGCAGTCTCTTAAGCTACACATATACAGCTGGGTGCGGTCGCTCACACCTGTAATACCAGCACTTTGAGAGGCCAAGGCAGGCGGATCACCTGAGGTTGGGAGTTCACTGCTTATAACTGTTGTTAGTAGAGACATGGAGAAACACCAACTCTATGAAGAATACAAAATTAGCCAGGCGTGGTGGTGCATGCCTGTAATCCCAGCTACTCAGGAGCCTGAGTAAAGACAATGACTTGGAAATAGCAAGCAGAGGTTGCAGCATTGCACTCCAGCCTAGGCAACAAGAGTGTAATTCCATCTCAAAAGAAAAAAAAAAGTTACGCAAGTTACGCATATACCTATCCTATGACGCAGCAATTCCACTTCTTGGTATTTAACCAAGAGAAACAAAAGTGTATTTCCACAAAATAATTTATACTAGACTACTCATAGTAGCTTTAGTCACAATAGCCAAAAATTGCAAACAGCCCTAGCATCCATCAACAAAAAAATGGATAAGTGGTGAATTGTGGTTTATTCATAAAACAGACTACTTTAATTAGAAAGGAAAAACAACAAACTACTGATTCATACAGCATAGAAAAATCACAAAAACATTATGCAGAGTGAAATAAGCCTCACAAGAAAAGAAAAACCTAGACTTCAAGGTTATATTTATATGAAATCTAGAATAGGAAAAAAAAATTTATAATGAAAAAAATTAAGAACACTGGTTACTGGTCAGTGGGGGTAAGAACACAGAAGAAGCACAATAGAACTTTTGGGACTGATTATAATATTGCATAATTCTAGACCGGGTGCAGTGGCTGAAGTCTATAGTCCCAGCACTTTGGGAGGCCGAACTGGGTGGATCACTAGGTCAAGAGATTGAGACCATCCTGGTCGACATGGTGAAACCCCATCTCTACTAAATATACAAAAAAAAAATTAGCTGGGCACAGTGGTGCGTGTCTGTAATCCCAGCTACTTGGGAGGCTGAGGCAAAAGAAATGCTTGAATGCAGTACGTGGACGCTGCAGAGATCTGAGATCACACCACTGCACTGTAGCCTGGAGACAGAGAGACTCTGTCTCAAAAACAAAACTAAACTAAAAAAATAAACCAGATGTCGAACAGTGATAAAGTCACAAGCCCCAAATGGAGCACAGGGGATGCCTGCAGAAAATGCAGTTAATTTGGAATATTTAGCAAGTGTCTATGCTGGTTGGGAAATACAAAATTATTTTTCAAGAAGAAAATGTTGCTACTGAGAAATATGCCCACTACCAGGTTGTAAGTTATGCCATCTTTTGACTGACATGGTCACATCAATCAGGCCTCGGTTGGTCAGAAACTCCACTGACTGGTCGCTAGAGTGCAGGACAACTGAGGACTGATTCACAATGGCAGTCAAAAATGATATTCACTTGATATTCCAGAGGCCCCAGAGAAAAATATTACTCTTCGAGACAAAGACATGCATCTTACCACATCAGGGTGCAGCTCGGAATCTTCGATGTCTTCTATTATGAGGTCCTGCAGGATCTCAACAGGACCTAAGGGAACACAAAGTGACTATCAGTGCATTGGGGCTTTTGGGGAATCTCACAAGGAGCTTGGAAAATGTGGACCAGGCTGAAGTGTGTGAAGCTGGGCGTTTGACAAGCATGGACCGAGCTGCTGCTGGACCATTCTCCTTGGTGCCAAAGAAAAAAAAAAGCAAAAAGGCAGAAAGGAATAAAAGTGCCTTGGCTTCCTAGCTAAGGCAACCTCATCAATGTGAAATCGTCATTTGAAGAACCAGTTCATACAGAAAGGCAGTGTACTATAGAAACAGGAGGTAGATTAGGGCTGCCTAGAACCAGGGGTGTGGGGCATTGAGGAAAACAGAGGAGTCACTACTGAGGGGGTTTTCTGAGAGGGAACCAAGAGCTTCTAAAATTAGATTCTAACAATGGTTGCACAACCCTGTCAATACAGTAAAAACACTGAATCACCTACTTTAAATGGGTGAATTGGTTTGCATGTCAACTACGTCTCAGTAACTGTTTAAAAGAAAAAGAATACGTACGATGGTGATACTGGGCCGCACGCTCCTCCTGCTATAAGAGAAAAAGAAACCCCATGAGGATTACATCATGCTGGGTCCTGTTGGCACAGGTCTTGTATTCACTTGGTGACATTAGAAAACCAGATGGCAGGCCGGGCACGGTGGGTCACGCATGTAATCCCAGCACGCGGGGAGGCTGAGGCAGGCAGATCATCAGGGCAAGAGATCGAGACCATCCTGGCCAACATGGTGAAACCCCGTAACTCTACTAAAAACTACAAAAAAGGTGGGCGTGGTGGTGGCGAGAGCCTGGAGTCCCAGCTACTCGGGAGGCCGAGGCAGGAGAATTGCTTGAACGCAGTAGGTGGACACTGCAGTGATCTGAGATCACACCACTGTACTGTAGCCTGGAGACAGAGAGATTCTGTCTCAAAAACAAAACTAAACTAAAAAAATAAACCAGATGTCAAACAGTGATGAAGTCACGAGCCCCAAATGGAGCACAGGGGATGCTTGCAGAAAATGCAGTAGGTTTGAAATATTTAAAAAGTATCTATGCTGGCTGGGAAATACAAAATTATTTTTCAAGAAGAAAATGTTTCTTCTGAGAAATATGCCCATGACCAGATTGTAAGTTATGCCATGTTTTGACTGACATGGTCACATCAATCAGGCCTCGGTTGGTCAGAAACTCCACTGACTGGTCACTAGAGTCCATGACAACTGAGGTCCGATTCACAATGGCAGTCAAAAATGATATTCACTTGATATTCCAGAGGCCCCAGAAAAAAAACATTATTCTTCGAGACAAAGAAATGCATCTTACCACATCAGGGGGCATCTCGGAATCTTCGATGTCTTCTATTATGAGGTCCTGTAGGATCTCAACAGGACCTAAGGGAACACAGAGTGACAGCACATTGGGGCTTCTGAGGAATCTTACAAGGAGCTTTGGGAAATGTGGACCAGGCTGGTGTGTGTGGAGCTGGGCATTTGACAAGCATGGACTGAGCTGCTGCTGGACCATTCTCCTTGGTACCAAAGGAAGAAAAAGCAGAGGGGCAGAAAGGAATGAAAGCACCTTGGCTTCCTAGCTAGGGCAACCTCATCAACGTGAAATCGTCATTTGAAGAACTGGTTCATACAGAAAGGCAGTGTACTATAGGAACAGGAGGTAGATTAGGGCTGCCTAGAACCAGGGGTGTGGGGCATTGGGGAAAACAGAGGAGTCACCACTAAGGGAGTTTTCTGAGAGGAAACCAAGAGCTTCTAAAATTAGATTCTAACAATGGTTGCACAACCCTGTCAATACAGTAAAAACACTGAATCACCTACTTTAAATGGGTGAATTGGTTTGCATGTCAACTACGTCTCAGTAACTGTTTAAAAGAAAAAGAATACATACGATGGTGATACTGGGCCGCACGCTCCTCCTGCAGTAAGAGAAAAAAAAAAACCCCATGAGGATTACATCATGCTGGGTTCTGTTGGCACAGGTCTTGTTTTCACTGGTGACATTAGAAAACCAGATGGCAGGCCGGGCGCGGTGGCTCACGCATGTAATCCCAGCACATGGGGAGGCTGAGGCAGGCAGATCACCAGGGCAAGAGATCGAGACCATCCTGGCCAACATGATAAAACCCCATATCTCTACTAAAAACTACAAAAAAGGTGGGTGTGGTGGTGGCGAGAGCCTGGAGTCCCAGCTACTCGGGAGGCCGAGGCAGGAGAAATGCTTGAACGCAGTAGGTGGACACTGCAGTGATCTGAGATCACACCACTGTACTGTAGCCTGGAGACAGAGAGACTCTGTCTCAAAAACGAAACTAAACTAAAAAAATAAACCAGATGTCAAACAGTGATGAAGTCATGGGCCCCAAATGGAGCACAGGGGATGCTTGCAGAAAATGCAGTGGGTTTGGAATATTTAGCAAGTTTCTATGCTGGCTGGGAAATACAAAATTATTTTTCAAGAAGAAAATGTTGCTACTGAGAATTATGCCCACAACCAGATTGTAAGTTATGCCATGTTTTGACTGACATCGTCACATCAATCAGGCCTCGTTTGGTCAGAAACTCCACTGACTGGTCGCTAGAGTCCATGACAACTGAGGTCTGATTCACAATGGCAGTCAAAAATGATATTCACTTGATATTCCAGAGGCCCCAGAAAAAAACATTATTCTTCGAGACAAAGAAATGCATCTTACCACATCAGGGTGCAGCTCGGAATCTTCGATGTCTTCTATTATGAGGTCCTGTAGGATCTCAACAGGACCTAAGGGAACAGAGAGTGACAGTCAGCGCATTGGTGCTGCTGAGGAATCTCACAAGGAGCTTTTGAAAACGTGAACCAGGCTGGAGTGTGTGGACCTAAGTGTTTGACAAGCATGGACTGAGCTGCTGCTGGACCATTCTCCTTGGTGCCAAAGGAAGAAAAAGCAGAGGGGCAGAGAGGAAGGAAAGCACCTTGTCTTCCTAGCTAGGGCAACCTCATCAATGTGAAATTGTCGTTTGAAGAACCGGTTCTACAGAAAGGCAGTGTACTATAGAAACAGGAGGTAGATTAGGGCTGCCTAGAACCAGGAGTGTGGGGCGTTGGGGAAAACAGAGGAGTCACTACTGAGGGGGTTTTCTGAGAGGGAACCAAGAGCTTCTAAAATTAGATTCTAACAATGGTTGCACAACCCTGTCAATACAGTAAAAACACTGAATCACCTACTTTAAATGGGTGAATTGGTTTGCATGTCAACTACGTCTCAGTAACTGTTTAAAAGAATAAGAATACGTACGATGGTGACACTGGGCCGCACGCTCCTCCTGCAGGAAGAGAAAAAGAAACCCCATGAAGATTACATCATGCTGGGCCCTGTTGGCACAGGTCTTGTTTTCACTTGGTGACATTACAAAACCAGATGGCAGGCCGGGCGCGGTGGCTCACACATGTAATCCCAGCACGCGGGGAGGCTGAGGCAGGCAGATCACCAGGGCAAGAGATCGAGACCATCCTGGCCAACATGATAAAACACCATATCTCTACTAAAAACTACAAAAAAGGTGGGTGTGGTGGTGGCGAGAGCCTGGAGTCCCAGCTACTTGGGAGGCCGAGGCAGGAGAATTGCTTGAATGCAGTAGGTGGACACTGCAGTGATCTGAGATCACACCACTGCACTGTAGCCTGGAGACAGAGAGACTCTGTCTCAAAAACGAAACTAAACTAAAAAAATAAACCACATGTCAAACCGTTATGAAGTCACGGGCCCCAAATGGAGCACAGGGGATGCTTGCAGAAAAGGCAGTGGGTTTGGAATATTTAGCAAGTGTCTATGCTGGCTGGGAAATACAAAATTATTTTTCAAGAAGAAAATGTTGCTACTGAGAATTATGCCCACAACCAGATTGTAAGTTATACCATCTTTTGACTGACATGGTCACATCAATCAGGCCTCGGCTGGTCAGAAACTCCACTGACTGGTCACTAGAGTCCATGACAACTGAGGTCCGATTCACAATGGCAGTCAAAAATGATATTCACTTGATATTCCAGAGGCCCCAGAAAAAAACATTATTCTTCGAGACAAAGAAATGCATCTTACCACATCAGGGGGCATCTCGGAATCTTCGATGTCTTCTATTATGAGGTCCTGTAGGATCTTAACAGGACCTAAGGGAACACAGAGTGACAGCACATTGGGGCTTCTGAGGAATCTCACAAGGAGCTTGGGAAATGTGGACCAGGCTGGAGTGTGTGGAACTGGGCATTTGACAAGCATGGACCAACCTGCTGCTGGACCATTCTCCTTGGTGCCAAAGGAGGGAAAAGCAGAGGGGCAGAAAGGAATGAAAGCACCTTGGCTTCCTAGCTAGGGCAACCTCATCAATGTGAAATCGTGATTTGAAGAACCGGTTCATACAGAAAGGCAGTGTACTATAGAAACAGGAGGTAGATTAGGGCTGCCTAGAACCAGGGGTGTGGGGCGTTGGGGAAAACAGAGGAGTCACTACTGAGGGGGTTTTCTGAGAGGGAACCAAGAGCTTCTAAAATTAGATTCTAACAATGGTTGCACAACCCTGTCAATACAGTAAAAACACTGAATCACCTACTTTAAATGGGTGAATTGGTTTGGATGTCAACTACATTTCAGTAACTGTTTAAAAGAAACAGAATACGTACGGCGGTGAAAGAGGGCCGCAGGCTTCTCCTGCAATAAGAGAAAAACACCATGAGGATTATGTCATGCTGGGTCCTGTTGGCACAGGTCTTGTATTCACTTGGTGACACTAGAAAACCAGATGGCAGGCCGGGCGCTGTGGCTCACACATGTAATCCCAGCATGTTGGGAGGCCAATGCGGGCAGATCATGAGGTCAAGAGATTGAGACCATCCTGGCCAACATGGTGAAATCCTGACTCTACTAAAAACTACAAGAAACCCAGCATGGTGGTGGCATGAGTCTGTAGTCCCAGCTACTCAGGAGACTGAGGCAGGAGAATTGCTTGAACCCATTACCTGCAGGTGATCTAAGATCACACCACTGCACTGTAGCCAGGTGACAGAGAAAGTTTCTGTTTCAAAACAACAGCAAGTAAACCAGATGTAGAACAGTGATCAAGTCACTGGCCCCAGACGACGCATACAGGATGCTTGCAGAAAATGCAATGAGTTTGGAAAATTTAGCAGGTGTCTATGTTCTCTAGGAAATACAAAATTACTTTAAGAAGAAAACGCTGCTACTGAGAAATGTGCTCACGAATGGTTTGTAGGTGAAATCCCAGTTTGACAGACATCATCCATCAGGCCTCAGTTGGTCATAATCTCCAGTGACCAGTCGCTAGAGTCCAAGACCCCCGAGGCCTAATTTGTGATGGCAGTCAAAAATCATATTCACTTCATAGTCTAGAAGCCCCAGAAAAAAAAAATTTCCAGACAAACAAATATGTTACCGTATCAGAGGCCACCTCCTCCTCCTCACTGCCAAGTGTACACTCCTCTGGGTTGTCAACAGGAGCTAGGAGAACACCACGTTACAGTCAGTTCATTGGTGCTGCTGAGAAATCTGACAAGAGGCTTGGGGGATATGTGTATAAAGGGGCTGGAATGATGGAGCTGGGTGGTTCACAAGCATTGACTGAGCTGCTGCTGGACCATTCTCCTGGTGTTGAATGAAGGAAAAGGAGAGGGGCAGAAAGAAATTAAAGAGCCTTGGCTTTCTAGCTAGGGCAACTTCATCAATGTGAAACAGTCACCTTAAGAACCAGTTAATACAGAAAGGCACTGTATAGAAACAAGAAGTACATTAGGGCTGCTTAGAACCAGGGGTGCAAGGCTGGGCAAAACAGAGGGGTGTCTACTAATGAGGTTTGTTTGAGGAGGAATGAAGAGGTTTTAAAATTAGATTGTAATGTAAGTGCATAGCCTATAAATATAGTAAAAACACTGAATCACCCACTTTAAATGGGCGAATTGGATTGCATGTCAACAACATCCCAATGAAGCTATGTTTAAAAAAAAAGAATACGTACTGTGGTGATATTCACTTGTAGCGTTTTCCTGCAGTAAGAGGAAAGAAAAACCATCATGAGGATCAGATCATACTGGGTCCTGACTGCACAGGTCTTTTATTCACTTGGTGGTGTTAGAAAACCAGGTATCAAACAGGGATCAAGTCACTGACCCGCAAATAAAGCATAGAGGATGCTTGGAGAAAGGGCAGTGGGCTTTTGTCTTTGGTTTTGGACAGATTCTTGCTCTGTCACCCAGGCTGGAGTGCAGTGGCATGATCTCAGCTCACTGCAACCTCAGCTTCCTGGGTTCAAGCAATTCTCCTGCCTCAGCCTTCCAACTAGCTGTGACCACAGGTGCCAGCCACCATGCCTGGCTAATGTTTGTTTTTATAGTAGAGATGGGGTTTCATTATATTGGCCCTGTCTGCCTCAGCGTCCCAAAGTGCTGGATTCTATGTGTGAGCCACCACGGCAGTAGGTTTTCATGGAATATTTAGCAAGTTGCTACTGAGAAATATGCTCACTACTAGTTTGTAAGTGAGGCCATCTTTTGACTAACATATCAATCGGGCCTCAGTTGGTCACACATTCCAGTGACTGGTAGCTAGAGTTCATGACAGCTGAGTCTAGAAGCCCCAGGAAAAGATATGTCTCTTCAAGACAAAGAAATGCATCTTACTAAGTCAGGTGACATCTCCTCCTGAAGCTTTTGACTTGTGCACCCCATTGGGTCTTGAACAGGAGCTAGGAGAACACAAAGAGACAGTCAGTGCACTGGTGATGCTGAGGAATCCCACAAGGAGGCTTGGGAAATGTGGACCAAAGCTGCAATGTATGGAGGTGGGCTCTTGACAAGCATGGACTGAGCTGCTGCTGGACCACTCTCCTTGGTGCTGAAGGAAGGCAAAAGAGAGGGGAAGAAAGAAATGAAAGAACCTTGGCTTTCTAGCTAGGGCAACCTCATCAGTGTGAAAAAGTCTGAGAACCGGTTAATATAGAAAGGCCCTGTATGGCTCAGTGAGAGCATCTCATCACACCTGCTGCCCACATTAAGGTCTAGGCAAATCCCAACATTTTATGAAACGTTACAGGATTATTTAACTTCTGTAGTAGTATCCTGCTACTACATTAATCATCTATCCTGTTGTATTTTGAAATTTTTAAAAGCTTACATATTTATTTTAATTATTAAGTGTGCATTTCAATGATATCATATTTAGTGAGTAACATTCATGATGCTGTGGCAATAATGAGAAAAATCTAAATTCATAATCTAGTTTCCACCTTGGGCAATGAAAGAAAAACAGCAGTATAATGTCAAATAGAGGAAAAATAAATAACGACTGCAGAAATTAATGGAATAAAAAACAGAAAATCATCAGAGAAAATCAACAAAACCAAAAACCAATTCTTTGAAAAGATCAATAACACTAATAAACCTCTACCTTGTTTAACCTCAAAGGAAAAGAAGGAAGTCACGATATACTAATAATATCAGTGAAATCAACAAATAGTAATAAAGGAATATTGTGAACACATCTGTGCTCACACTTGGAAACATTATATGAAATGAGCTAATTTTTTGATCTGTTTCAGAAGATTAAAAGTCTTCTCATGATAAATGAATCATCTGAATAGGCCTATATTTATATTAGAAATTGAATCAATAATTAGTATCTTCTCAAAAGAACAAAAACACTATCTTCAGATGATTTCAACAGTAAATTCTACCAAAATTCTTACAAAGAAACAAAGTCTTACATATAAGCAAGTAATCATAATTTTAGTATTTCCTTAGTTACATTTAAAAAATTATGTTTCCAAACAAGACACAAGAAGGTTTACAATTGCTGTATTCATAATTGCCCAAACTGAAAGCAAATGTCTAAACATTTGAGATGTCGTTTACTATCAAAAGTGAACCAAGCCTGGGCAACACTATGAAACCCCATTTCCACAAAAAAAAAAAAAAAAATTAAATTAGAAAAAAAAACTTGGTATAAAGCATGTGCATTTCAGCCATCTGCTTGGGATGCTGAGGTAGGAGGATCACCTGAACATGGGGAGGTCAAGATTGCAATGAGCTGTGATTGCACCAATGCACTCCTGGGTGACAAAATGAGACCTTTTCACAAAAACAAACAAGTAAAAAGAACCAAACTCTAAGTTGTCAATGTAACTTTACTTGTGTAGTTGCATCATCCATTGATTTAATTCATTAAATGACATAGCATTTACTGAGTTTGTAAACTGGATGAGTAAACAAATTATTTGCTTCAATAAACTTAATGATATAATTTCCACCCTACCTTCATTTTCAATGGGGCAAATTTTCTTACACTTCCATTTTTTTCGTACCCAGCTCCTGATGCGGCCAGCCAAACCTGCAATGTATTATAATAGAGACAGTACTTGACATCTTTCTGGCAGAAGACCACAGAGAAATCAGTAAAAATTTATTCAGTTTAAACTTTTGATCCTAGTTTTCACTGACTGCTTTTTAATGCTACCTGAATTACATCTGGGTTCTAGGAAGATTTGTTTGTCCAGGTAGATACCTTTATTCAGATGAGACAATAAAGAAAAGCAGAAGATCCAAGTTACCAAGAATAGGCTGGGTTCAAATCCTACTTAGAATCTGCACATACCTGAAAGACGGATATGAACCCATCTATGCCTCTCTTCCCTATTCTGAGATGTAGAAACATTAGTAGATCTATGCTATAGACCTACTAAGGTCTATAGCACCTAAAAGGATGAAATGCAGATAAAGACTTTAAAAGACTCATTTTTTTGGTAAATCCCCTAAAATGTTCAATCATTCAGTGTCGAGAAGGATAATCCAGATACTTGGTAGTGGTTGAACACAGAGTGGGAGCTTGTATATCCCCTGTGCAGGGTAGGATGGAAAGTGACTTCACAATTTCCATGGCCACATGATTTCCAGCTCATGACAGAGATCTCTGATTTCCCTGATCCCCACATCAGCCCCAAGGGACAGGCAGGGAAGGGGCTACAACCCATATTTTCCAATTCAATAAAAAGACATCTTACTCTTTTTCACAGCTCCATACTTCTCCTTCATGTAGAAGTACCAGCTTATTTTACTAGTCCCTTACTAGGCATGTCAGTTATTTCCAATATTTAACTATTGAAAATAATGCTACAAGAACTTTGCACATAGTTTGTTTTATATTTATGGAGCACACCTTCAGGATAAAATTCCTCAAGGTAGGATGTCTGGTTTAAATGCATTTTCATGGTTGTGAGATTGTGCCAAATTCCCCTTCATGGAGTTGGGCCTTTTTGCATTTCCACCAGCAATATATGAATGCACCTGTTTTGCCATGTTTTGGGGATCTCCCTCAATAGGAGAGACGCTGCAGTAGAGCTGTCCTTTGAGTGAAGATGTGTTTAAAAATCACCTGCATTTCTTTTTCTGTGACTTGACTATTTACCACTTTATTATCTACTTTTAGTGTCACTTGATTTTTCTGAAGTCGGCCTTTTTCAGGTCCTTGCAGTTTTTCTCTTCACTGTTGGCTCTCACCTGAACTACTCCACCAGCCTCCTAGCTGCTCTTCCTGCTTCCACCCTTGCCTGTATTACAGTATATTCACACAGAGCTGCTGCTCAGTCTTTTTCTTAGAGAACTAACAGTAATCCTAGGCTATAATCCTCCAGTGGTTTTTCATCTCAACTGAAGTCCATCTTCTCTGTGGGTGCTCACTACATGTACAAGGCCTTCACCCACCTTATTCCTCCCAGCATCCTTTCACTCTGCTGCAGCCACCCTCGTGTCTTTCTGTCCTTTGCCTAAAACAACTTTGTTTCAATTTTAGGAATTCCAAAGTGGATATCCCTCTCTGGAAGCCCTCTCCCATCATCCTCACAAGGTTCCCTGCACTTTTTTATTTTTAAAAATAAATAAGATGGGGTGTCTCTGTGTTGGCCAGGCTGGTCTTAAACTTCCAGCCTCAAGGAATCCCCTCATCCTGGCTAAAGGTGGGAACAACTGAACCCAGTCCATTTCACTTTTAAGACTGTTCACATGTCACTTAAAGAGAACATCCAGCTCTTAGCACCAACCTGCCCTCCTCTTTAATCCATTACCCTGCTTTACTATCTTCCCAACATGTTACCACCTGCCATTCTTGACTATTCATGTGCTAGCTGTCCTTACTTCCCTATTGAATGTAAGGGTCAGACTTAGAATGGGGCTCTCTGTTGTGTTCCACTGTTGGCCCTGCTTGCCCTGCATCTGCAACACTGCCAGGCCATTTAAAAGTGCTCAATACATATATTTCATTTTACCCCAAACTAGTTAAGTTTCTCCCAGTTCTCCCAGATCTGTCTTGTCTTTTGATTTATCATCTAAGACAGCATCAGATTTTTTAAACTGGTGGCTATTTAGAATTAAAGACACAAGCTATCAAGATCCATAAAAATATAAATGAAGTATGTTAATGTCTATTTAAAAGTCAACGGTAACTGCAGTTTGACAGAAGTACATTTAATACTAAAATGCCTTAAATACAAAGTGACTCATTTCATCAGGTTAATTATGTCACTAGACAAAATATATTATCTGAACTTTGTAATGAAATATCACGCATCTGTCATCAAAATGTGCTTTACGTGTGTTCTTAGAATCAAACATGACAGGATTGTGTCTGACTTTACGAAAAAAGACGGCCAATCACAAAGGGTAGGTAAATACATAGTGCTTTCACCAGTCCATGGTACACTAAGCAGTTATTCAAAGTCATCAGGTACAGCAGGGTGCCCTGGCATGCAAAGACATCCTGGCATGCTGTCTAGGTGTCAAGTACTGTTTGAGAAACTTATGCCATTATTTCACTGCTTTAAGTAAAAGTTACAAGGCAGCACATATAAAATGATCAAAGAATTTTATTTTATAAAAAAGTTTGTGAAATAAAATATTCAAGTGCATACCAAAAATTTCCAGAAGAACCAGTACTCAAACAGTAACACAAGTGAGCTCTGGGTATTCTGGGTACAATAAGTAACTTTTCTTTGTTTCCT